CCCTGGATTTCTATTTTGAAGGGACCTTAGAAATCACAATATAAAAGTGATTTCTAAGGTCCCTTCAAAATAGAAATCCAGGGACACAACAAATGTGGATAACAATGATCTAGATGTTGCACAATGACTCTATCGAAAAAATAAATAACCCCAAATATAGATAATAACAATATATGTTATTATCTATATAAACGACAAGTTCACAAAATAACAACACGAGAATTTAACGTGGTTCCCCTATCGGTGTTATAGTGTATGTCCACCAAGGAGAGAGAGCAAGAATATTATTACCACCAAGGAGATTACAAAGTGCTTGTACAAGGATCTTTAAATCCACAATCAACTAGCAAGTCTTCCAGAATATCAAGAATTTTAAGAACTCTCTCGTATCACACACACACACACACATATATATATATATATAGAATGTACTAGCTAGAGAGAGTGTTGTATCTAGAGAAAGAATAGAAAACCAGGGTATGTTAAAATGTTGGGGCCAAATGGTTATTTATAACCAAACAAAGAGTAGGGAGCAAGCTTGGAGGATGAGAGTGAGCAAGCATGGCAAGAGTAGGGAGCAAGCTTGGTGGAGTAGTCACCAAGTTTTGATGAGTAATGACCAAGTCTTGGTTTTACTGATTTGGTCATCGAGTGTAGCATCCATAAACATAAGTAATATATTTTATATTACAACACTAATAACTTCCTGTTCCCTGTTTTCTCATGATTAATACCAACTACTCACATGAGTAGGATAAGAAAAAATGTATCACTGAGCATGATGTAACCACTTTTTGTATGAAAGGTGGCCAAAGCGATCTTAAGTAGCGCTGAACATGATGTAAAGTGGTCACATGTGGGTATGAATAAACATGAAGACAGAAATTGTGAAGATGGTCATTTGGCAATAAATGGTATTGTTAGGGGGACTACCAGAAGGTTTGGCCAAATCCTCAATTCATGAGGTTCAGGACGTGAAACGGTTGTATAGGGGTTGGTGGAGCCTAAACAACTGAAAGATGGGTCTGTAAGACAACTATACAAGAACCTTTAAGCTTCATACTTCGCATACCATGATATCTAGAGCATCAGGCCCTAGATAACAGAGGGCATTGCGCAGAAGATGATTACTTCACACAATCAAAATGAATGCTTGTCTTTTAAAACTCAAATTATTTGATCATTTAATTAGGAGATGAAACATCTAATACAATTGACGATAATTATCCTAATAATAAAGACACATTCCAACAATACACCACTAACTACCTAAAGATAATTTCAATAAATGATTACAATAAATAATGTTCCGTGCGTTTCAAAGGAAATGCAACACATTCTATTTTGGGTTTCCCCAAAACATGAAATGTTCCTTTTCCTGAAAGATTCATTTTCAAGTTGGCCAATTTTCCCATTAGAAATCATTACAAGGTACTGGTCAGATCATGGTCTACACTTTTTTTCAGTTGTTTTATAAAGTGGGATTTTATGTATTTTATCATTATTCAAAATCAAATCAAACTATGTTTTTTATTGGGGTGGGGGGATTAATGATTTATCCTAATAATTGTCCTAAATGCATCATGACCTCCTTATATGGTTTTCTCGACAAACACTATGGTTAGTCATGACTCAATTCACATGAACTCATTTTATGGAACATCATATTATGTGGGATCTTGAAGAAGGATGCCTGGCCAAAATATTTTGAATACATGTTTTTCAAGGTTAGAGTATGCTAACATGGTCTTCTTTATTCTAGTGAACAAATGATGGGGTTGATAAACATAGATACAAAACCTTTCTCAAATTAAGAGGTTCTTCTTAGGCAGTGGGTTATCTTTGTTCTTGTTTTTCTACGTGGTTGGCTGGCCAATTTTGTTGCAAAGCATTTTTGATATATATTGTAACCATTGAGGATTCATATAGAAAATAAATTAACTGTGTTCATTCTGATCATTGTATTATGTTTCAGTCTTGCCTTCTATTGGCATTGGGGCTCTTTCTGCTAGAGAGGCTGAAGGAAGAAGTAATATATCTTCCGGAGAGAAGGTATTACTACACAAAACTCTTGTCTTATTGCTTTCTGTAGCATCTGTTATTTGCAAACTTGTGTCCATAACCTAACTTCAGATCAAGCAGAGGAGTCTTCTATATCTGTAAGGATTGGAGTTATTGAGTAATAAATTCTTTATTATCATATAAGAGTAATAAATTCTTTTTACAATTAACTTAGGGGTGTAAACGAGCCAAGTCAAGTCGTGTAGTAGGTTAATCAAGCCAGGCTCAAAAAATTAATAACAGGCTCGAGCTCGATTAACTTTTTCAGTGTAGGGCTCTAGCTTGAGCTCGAATTATATTTGATTTATAGAGCTCGATGCTCGTTTATGGGTTCGAACTCGCAATCGATTAACTCGTTTAGCGGCTTGAGCTCGATGATTTATATATTTTATTGTATGATTAATAAATATATGAGCATGTTTGGCTCGAAAAAGGGTATGCTCGAATGACTCCGTTCGGCTCGACTTGACTTGAAAAATTGAATCGAGTTCTCAACGAGCTGAGTCGAACATTAGTGTCATAAAGCTCAGCTACATTAGTAGGAATATAGGCTGATATGTCTCCAGCAAAGCGTTTTCCTTCCTCTTCCTATCGGAAAACAAGAACCCACCAGCTAACTTCTCTAGACTGGAAAGATTCAATCAACTTGTTGGCCTGCTTCTATGTCCTGTAGCTTCTAAGGCATTAGCTTCAAAGGGGCTAGTTGGCCCGCGCGGGTCTGCTTTTTTATTAAGAAAGCAAGGAGGTGATTTGTTTGCTCTAGGAACGTACCGAGAAGTGAACTTGGATAGCCGTAGGATCCACTTCCCAATTCTCCCCTTCAACACGGGTCTGGTCAGCATAGACTTAATCAGGTCGTTAAGTCAAACAAGTTCTATTTTGTGTTCAAGATCTACCGAGATCGAGAATTATTAAGCTCGAGCTCGAGTAGCTCGTTAAAAGCTTGAATCGTTTACACCCCTAGCATAACTAATTAACTATATATACTTTTTTAAAACAAGTAATGGCTAGTATTGCATTGAAAGTGCATCCCAACAAGTTCGAGTAACACTGAAAAACCCAAGGTTAAGTTGTATCAGATTCTGTTTATGCTTGCCATTTCAGGAAGCTCATAGATTACTTCAACCAGTAGACAGAACTTTAAAGACAATGGCTATTGAATTTGCAGAGTACCAGGTGAAGACTAATTTGCATTATTTTTAATATTCCACCTCTTGTTGGCTAGTAGTTCGTATCAAATTGTTATATGTTTTACATGTATGATTGTAATATTTTCAGGTTTCTGTTGATGTATTTATTACCACGCAAAGTTATGTGGACATTGCTTCAATCTCTGTTGTCCCAAGGACGACTGGAGGGCAGGTAGTTACCATGGGATTTTTTTTTTATTTCTACAAGTCTTGCCAGCACTTACCATAGAGAAGCATTTGCATTTGTGCGGTTATTTGTGTACCTGTGTACATTAAAGGAGATTGAAAAAGACTGAGCTTTATGCCTAATTTACGAGGGGTGAATTACTTCTGGATTCGTAGCAATTGTGTTGGGAGATGGTTCTTACAAAGTTAATTTATTAGGAGAGAGGCAAACCGTAAGGGAACAATAGGTATGGAATTTTCAGAGCATGATAGAGAAAGAGGGTTATCTATAGAAGAGGAAATGTGAAAGCTTGAGGAAGGGGACAGCGTTCTAGCTTAACACCAGAGAGAACTGTAAGCATAAATCTGGGCAAAATGACGTTTATTAGTTGCAAGATTCTAATGTTTCTTTGAAGGAGTAAATACCAATAAATAATTTCACATTTGTATTTGAAGCATCAACACATTTGTTCTGAATTAATTTGGGTAGACATGTATTTTAGACATGTTGATGATGTAGACTGCATATTCAACTTTCACAATAAAAAGATAACTTGGTTTTTCTCTGAAGTCAAGGCATATCAGTTACAATGATTCATGTTATGGTAGGACTAAAATACAGCATCAATATATGGGTCTAAGATACCCTTTTAACCATTGATACTTCTGGACCTTCTACTTTTGTGATTTCTCGTAAAGTAAGACGCTTGCAAGCTGCATATCATAAGCAATGTAGTTTCTAGTTTTATCTTCTGTTTGAAAATTTTCATCATTGCTTGACATAAGTTTCTTTTAGTTCTGAACCAGTGATTTCTGTGTAAATCGTTTTCTCTTTGCTTTTCTGTTGGTCTTATGTTTGGATTGCAATTAAAATTGCATGAGTGTTCCATCGGAATCAAGATTATTATCCTAGAATGAGTTGAAGGGATGAATTTTTTGTCTAATAGATTATTTCATTCTGTGTATTATTTGTTTCATTTGATTTTGTCACTTTCCATCTTATATAATTTGTTGTATGCAATTTTTTTTATACTTCTTATTTCGGCCAACCCGATACTATTGCCTAACAGATTTTTTAAGTGAATTATTAGACTTGAGAGAGATAAAACATATGCTAAAAAATCCTTGAATTAACTCCAAGCTATCTCTGAACTGTTGGGTTTTTTTTATATTAATGTTCTGAAATTCTTTCATGATAGAACTTGCTATTAAAGTTTGACTTGCTATATATTTTTATGTTTGATTGGTCTCCATTTTTAAATTAGTTCTCATGTCAGTTTATATATCCATGCTTCTTTCAGATGTACTATTATCACCCCTTTTCTGCTCTTTCCGATCCTGCAAAACTCTACAATGATCTTAGATGGAATGTCACAAGGCCACAAGGTTTTGAAGCAGTGATGCGTGTTAGATGCAGCCAGGTTAGCTTATAGCCACCGAGGTTTTACACTGTCCCTTCAAGATAATTTACCTTTGATTTTACATTTATATTTTAGTCTCTAAAGTGGTAAACTTATTGAACTCTTGAATTCTGTAGGGTGTTCAAGTACACGAATACACTGGAAATTTCTGTAAACGCATTCCCACAGATATCGATTTACCTGCGGTTTGTCCTTCTCTCCTTACACAAATGAACACACACAGACATACACACCCATCAACATATATATAGGCTCAGGTGGGCAAAACCGCAAAAAGTGAAAAACCGAGGAACACCCTTGTAACTGTTCATCTGGACAATATGCACTTGCACATACATGTAATTTGCAAGCAATTTGTCCGGTATGCACATGTGCATAGCATGCACACATGCATAAAAATCAGAAAACAGGTTCAATTACTTGTATGCAAATGTGCATACCATCCAGATGAATGAATGGCTACCAGGGTGTTCCTCAATTTTTCATTTGTTTGGGGGTTTTCCCTTGAACCTCTCTCTCTCTCTCTCTCTCTCTCTCTATATATATATATATATATATCCTCCAGTATCCCTATTTCTATCTCTCTTGTGGCGGTTAAAGTTATTGGCATTGGTTATCCTCAAAGTTGTGGCTGTATTAAGTATTTGGACTTGTGTTTTTCATAGAAGGAAAGTGTCCATTCATTTGTAGTATATAACAGTAATATACAGCAAAACTCACACACACTCCTCACCAAAGCTTTAACCCTTGACCTCCAGGGTGGTGGTGATTTATCAGTAACCTTACCTTCAATCACTTGGATCTCTGCTGAACTGGTTTGTTTGACATATGTATGTTTTCTACTGTGTGTCCTTCATTAACAAAGATTTTAACTGGTAAACTTTGCGAAAGCTTCAAAACCATCTGGTATGATGGGTAAATGAGAGGTCCAGTGCGGCCAAATTTTGGTTATTATAGTACAAATGTGATGCTTCCTAGATGCATTCAGCCTATTCCTTTTAAGTCCTCAGTTATTTTGATTAAAGTTCAGAAGATTGGGTTTTAAATCCTTTTAAGTCCTATTCTGTTATTTGAATTAGAGTTCATAAGATTTGATTTTAGATTCCTTGGGATGCAAGTACTATATCGTTTAGAGTTTGCTTCTCATCTTGAATCATGTATGTAATCCTTCTCTAGATTGCTTACATTTTTGTTACAATTGAGCACATTTCATGGCTAGTTACTTGCTTATTTGTAACATCATGTTTTCCCTGATTGAACCTGTACTTTGCAGATTGATTGTGACAAATCGATAATGGTAACCTTGAAACATGATGATAAAATGCAGGATGGCACAGAATGTTCTTTCCAGGTACTTTTTTAATTAAGTTATTTTTCAAAGAGAGACTTTTAGCAAAATGTGGTAACAGAAGCAGAGTTAAGTCAATAGGCGTTCTTTTCCTCGCTAAGGGGTATAGTAGTTTATACTAGAGGTAGCCAAGCATGTAATGATATCTTTGAGCCTTGCTACCCTTGATATACTTGTGCAGGTGCTTGAGCCTAGAAGAGATTGAAATAAAAAAGGCATGATCTTAGCAATTTATGTATCAGTCAGAGGCGGACCCATAAAAAAATTCAAGTGGTGGCACAATTTGATTATATAAAAAATATCTGAAATTCTTTTTTCACAATATTAGTATAGATCTGTTGGTTGGTACCTTGCCGTTACATAGAAAGGACCCATGTTCATGTATGGTCTACATATATTTTGAAAAACTCAAGAGGAATATAAAAACACCAAAATTTAAGCTAAAAAACAACAAATGGGACTCAAACCTGGGTCTTTTGTACAAAGGCAGGAGCATTTACCATCTTAGCCAATAAAGTCTTCTGTTGACTTTTCAGTTTCAAAAATTATATGGTGGCACCCAACAAAACAATGGGTGACATCCTTTATAAACGTAATTTTTTCCCCTTACGACGGAACCATGAAGTGGTGGCCTTTGCCACCGTATCTATCCATGTGGGTCCAGCCCTGGTATCAGTGTATGATCTTTTGACCTGTTGAAGCTCATGTTTTCTAAATTATTTGCTTGAGCTCTGTATATGCTTGCAATTTATAAGAACCGCTCCTTGCTATCTAATCTATTATGTGTTTATGTTTTCAGTGTGCACTTCTATATACTACTGTGTATGGGCAAAGAAGAATACGTGTCTCCACCTTGTCTTTGCCATGTACAACCATGCTGAGTAATCTTTTCCGTTCAGCTGATTTAGATACCCAATTTTCATGTTTTCTAAAGCAAGGTAATTGGTTTCTTTAACACTTTGATCTCACTTTTGTTTGATTGATGCTTGTTTGTGATGATGTAAACTGTACCACATTAATGAGCAGGTTTTTTCACATTGGTACAAACCCTTTTCAATGAAGAACTAAATCTTCTTGTGCTTCAATTCTTCGTCTTCACGGAGTACCATAGATTCTGCATATCTGTAATTACACCAAATATTGATATTTGTTTTTCTGCAGCGGCATTAGAAATCCCTTTCGTCCCATTACCGCAACTAAGGGAACAAGTGACCAATCTTTGCATCTACATTCTTCATTCTTATCGCAAATTTTGTGCAACTGTGTCATCGTCAGGACAGTTGATACTTCCAGAGGCACTCAAGCTGTTGCCCCTTTACACCCTTGGTATGTTTTCTTTCTGATGTAGACCATTCCAAGTGTGGGTTGTTGCTTTGTCCTTCTTCGTAATTCTTGTTGCCTGAAAATTTAACTTATGTGTTGTCTAATTAGCAATAAGATAAGCACCCATCTTAATTCTCCAAAGGTTCTGATGGTATGTGATCCGTTTGGGAGATAGCTGCTGTCCCCTCTTTGGCAAATGAAAACTCCCTCCATATATTTTTTTTCTTTGTGGTAGTGGGGGGGAAGGAAATATTTGGTATTTGAGGGTGCGTTTGGTATCTATAAGGATAGAACAGGACATGGCAGAAGAACTGTTCACCGTTTGATAAGACATACTAGACAGGACAAAACAGATAAAAATGACCAATTTACTCTTAATGAGTTGTTTATATATTTTATACATTTTGATTAATTATGTAATGTATTAAATTATAATAAAATAAATATTTCACATAACATAATATATCATTAGAAAGTTTTAATCAAGATGATTAAAATGACACCAAAATAAAAAGTTTATGTAGTTTCCAATTTTTATTTTATACTTGTTCTATTTTATTTTATTATTAATATTCAATAAATTACATAAATTAATCAAAATATAGAAACCATGTAAAAATAATATGTTTAAAAGGCGTAAACAAAATTTTAAAAAATGAATACAATGTAAAGAGGAAGGCATATTTGATGTTTTAGAAGAAAATTAAGTTTGATTTTGGGGTTATGTTGGTAAAACATAAGTCTGTTCCAGCTTGTTCCATGGGGTGGGGGAGGAACACGCTTGTTCCACTCTGTTCACGTCTGTTCCACATAAAAGTTCTGCCAGACATGGAACAATTATCCATGTTCTGTTCTGTCCTGTACCAAACTCAGCCTGAATGTCAATGATATACTCTTGGGGTGTAAGTTCTGTTTTGATACACTCTTCCCGCATATGGGCTTGTAATGGTTAATGGGATCATTGTCTAAATAATGTTTAGAGAAATTAGGGTTGACATCATATTTGATAGTCATTATGAAATCCTTGTTAGGGGTACATGGGAGAAAACCCGTGGTAAAAGTTAATGCATCGAGCATCGTGGAAGGAATTTTCCAGATGTTTTTTCCTTCTTTTCAAATTTTCCTGAAACAACCATGTAAAAGGTTGTAAATGCATCAATTTCTAACATAAAGGTGCTTCGGTTCCCCAAAGACCCTGCAGAAATTGAAGCAGAAAAATCAACAAAAAACCTGAAAAAACCCTGCTTCCCATTCTTCTACCCAATATTTCATTTGAAAACTCGAATGTTAGTTCGTTGATGCAATATATTGATGTGAAACTTCATGTTACAAATTTTCCTGGTTAGTACTTTCTTGAAACCAACAATTAGGTCACCCGCATTCCAAAGTTTAAAATATCGAGTTGATTAACTATACATTCATCAACACTTAGACCACTGCTGTTAATAACCGTAAAAACTAACATTGTTGCTGAATCAGCATCCTACATGGCATAACACATGTAATTATTGCATTAAGGAGGCAACAGCTTGAGTGCCTTTACATGTTGAGTCAGCATCCTACATGGCATAATGAGTCAACCCTGTACATGTGTTTTGGTCATTGTACTTTAGTGATTTGGTCACTGTTGTTTATTTATAATTATTTGATAATTGCATTTAATTATTTCTAACTTTTTAACATGTGGTGACCATAATTTTGTGTTAAATTAATTACACATTAAAAGATTTCTGGCCATAAAAATAGTAGTACTTTACAAAGTTGTCGTCATAAACAAATTTTAATTTTGAAATTTGTTGTGATGAAGTAGTTTCATGTTATAATTTGTTTTAAAATCTTATCTCTTTCTCTGTTTCAGCTTTAATTAAAAGTATTGGGTTGCGAAGTGATGGGCGTATAGATGATCGTTCATTCTGGATCAGTTATGTTTTCCCTCTCTCTACCCAATTGACAATCCCTCTTGTGTACCCCAGAATGATAAGCATTCATGACCTTAATTCAAAGGTAAAAGATGATATATTTCAGGAAAGTTCAAAGTTTCGTATAAATGATGCCTTAAATGTTTTTTTGGTCTTTTTTCCAATGTTACAGGAAACAGATGGCGTTATTCCTCCTGCTATTCCACTCTGTAGTGAGCACGTGAGTGACGATGGAATCTATCTTCTCGAAAATGGCAAAGATTGCTTAATTTATATCGGGAACTCTGCAGATCCCAATATAATGGGGAAACTGTTTGGCATTTCCTCCATTGATGAAATTCCAAGCCAGGTATAAACACAGGCTCTCGATTTCTTTTTTTTCTTTTTTTGAAGGGGTGTCCCCCAACGCCTAGACTAATCCCGGCAAATTGTGACCGCAAGACATCAACCCTGATAAACTCAATGGTCACAATTGTTATGGACGCCTAGAATTGAACCCAGTGCAGATAGGATATTCCACCACATCCCCTGGGACTCAACCACTACGCCACAACCTTGTGGTTTATTCAATTTCTTTTTTGACGTACATAGTTATTGCATAATTTTGGTTTTTTTGTCCTTCCATGAAGACTTTGTATAGGAGCCCTTATAACTTGAAGACAAATTTGATAATGCAAATAGGCTAGGCCTTGGGGCTCCTCCCAATAGGTCGCCAGTTCAAGTCTCCTTGGGCCACTAGGATTTTCCTACATGTTATCTTCATGTCCCCATGGGATTAGTGATACCCACAGTTAACACCATAAGAACATACATGAAACATAAACCACAAGGGTGGTGTCTGATTGGTTTGAGCTTGGGCTCCAAAGGTCAATAATGTCTGGAGGTCCTAGGTTCAAATCCAAGGAGGAATAAAAATCCTCTTGTGGCCATGGAGGTTCAAATACGGTGACTCCGGGCTACCTGTAAAACAAGTGGTCGTCCTGGGATTAGTCGGCTCGCATAGCGGATTGGATATCCAGGTTAATAAAAAAAACATACATGAAACATATGGGTCCTACGTCCTATCAATGCCCCTCATTGACCTAGACATGAGGATGGGTGCATTAATACCTATGATCATTCCCTCCAGGAAACCTCACGAGAAAAGACATATAGGACACAAATAAGACCTCCCCCGGAAATGGGTGCAGTAAGCTCCTTTTCCGGGGGAGGTCTTATTTGTGTCCTATATGTCTTTTCTCGTGAGGTTTCCTGGAGAGAATGATCATAGGTTTTTGCTAGATATCGTGCTTGCTTATTGGCTTCTTAACAAACATTGCACATTTCTTTCCCTTAATCTTTTGAGGATATAAGCAACGCGCTCTATTGTTTGCATTTTTCTGGTCTACAGTTTAGATATCATAAAACAACGCGCATCGGATCAATTTTTTGGTCATTCAAGCCTAAACAACAATATTCATACAACTAAACCTTTCGTTTGTGAGACAGAATTTTACCTTATATTTTTCTAACTTCAAACATTTAGGAAATAAGTTTACTGTTTTTTAGTGTAATTGTTTTGTTTCATGAGTACTAGTATAGATATTAAATTGGAGAACATATTACATGAACTAGGGGGCTGTTTGGTTGATTTTTCATTAAGTCATATGGATAAAGTTGTTTGTGTGGATTTATCTGTCTGTATAGATTAGGAATATTTTTGTTTTGGAGGGTTTTATCATATATGGAAGGAGTGTGTTTTTCAACAGGGAGGGGCAGGTTTGGAAAAAACTTTGGCTTTATGTATAAAGTTGGCCCTAGAAGCTTACTGAATAAGTCACTTTCTATATAATTAAGCCACTACCAAATAGTCATGTATAGCTGACTGNAACATATTACATGAACTAGGGGGCTGTTTGGTTGATTTTTCATTAAGTCATATGGATAAAGTTGTTTGTGTGGATTTATCTGTCTGTATAGATTATTTTTTTTTTGGGGGGGGGGGGGTGTTTAACAGATGGAAGGAGGGTATTTTTTTAATTGGTAGGGGCAGGTAAGGGAAAAACTTGGCTTTATGTATAAAGTTGGCCCTAGAAGCTTACTGAATAAGTCACTTTCTATATAATTAAGCCACTACCAAATAGTCATGTATAGCTGACTGAATAAGTTGTGAGTCTCATTAAGCTCATTAAGCCGCTAACAAACAGGTAAGTATATCATATGTGTGTGTGTGTATCTTTTTGTTTGGTTTGGCAGTCAAGAAACAAGTTTTATACAGCCAATTTATGAACAAGATAAAAGGCATCTATCAATAACTTCTTTTTTTCAGTTTGTATTGCAGCAGTACGATAATCCTTTGTCAAAGAAGCTAAACGAGGTCGTAAATGAGATAAGGAGCCAAAGATGTAACTACCTTCGGTACGTGTTATGTTTGTGGATTCCTATCGAGTTACGATCAGAGTCTCTTTGTAATGAAAATATTTTAATCTAATTATATGGACTTCTATTCGTAACGGTTTTTCTTTTTGCAGCTTGAGATTATGCAAGAAGGAAGATCCATCAGGTCAGGAACATAACATTTCTATCACATATGCTATTTTCATCGTTGTCTATACAAATATTTGACTGGACAGCAAGATGTTTAACTGAGTCATGTCTAAACTACACCTTAACAAGGACAAGATAAAGGAGTGTTTCCATCAAAATCAATGTTACAATATTTTGTATTCTGTAATGGTTACTAAGGGTATGTTTGGGACGTGGGACGGAACAAAAACTTGTTGTCTCACGTCTAGCAAGGGAATTAGGGTTTGTTTGGTTGGTTTTCCATGAAGTCTTGTATGGATAAAGTTGTATGTCTGTATAGATTGAGAAGGTTTTTGTTTGGAAGGGTTTTCTCATAAATGAAAGGAGCGTGTTTTTTAATTGGAAAGGGTTGGTTTAGAAAAAACTTGTCTTTATGCAGAAAGCCCCCCCTAAAAGCTTACTGAATAAGCCACTTTTTATATTATTAAACCACTACCAACCAATCATGTGTAGCTGACCAAATAAGATGTGACTTCCATTAAGCTTGTTGAGCTTCTAACAAACAGTCCCTTAGATTGGGACAAGATAGAAAAAAATTGCAGTTTTTTTGCCCCACCAAAATAGGTGAAACAAAAATCACGAAGATAGGACAAGATAGGTAATTACTAAACTTCCAATGTTAAATCAAAACCTTCTAGAACTCTTTTACCCGCCTACCTCACTTTTGCCAGTCCAATCTGCATATGCAAAAAACGAGCAAGTTTGGATTGCAACTTTGCCTAAAACGGAACAGTATCTTTATTTTGGAATGGAGGGCGTGTCAATCAATGGTGTTTATAACTGCTAAAATTGGTTGGCGGTTTTTTTTTGGTTCAACTTATCTTGTAAGGGGTGTGAGCATACGAGCATTAGTGCACCGGATTCCATCAACTCCACAGTTAAGCTTATCTTGTAAGTTTTTGTTTCAGGAATGTTGTTCTTCTCGTATATGGTGGAAGACAAATCTCCACATGGTCTGTCCTACGTTGAGTTCCTTGTACACGTCCATCGACAAATTCAAAGCATAATGAATTGATGTTATTTATGCAAGTGCGGTCTCCTTCAATTATGTTTACAAATTCCGGTAGTCCTTGCACAAGCCAAGATGAAGCAAAGTTTTGAGATCCCTTTTAGTTTCGATAGATGGCTTCCATTTGAAACTTGTGAATTTGTAGCATAAAGTAAATAAATCTCGCCTCGATTCGAGCTATTTTACCACCTTTTGTGGTATGTATAAACAGGGCCTTGTTCAAAAATATATGCCCAAATTAATCCCGGCCAAATTATGATTATAAGATACCAATTCTGATAAATCTTAGTGGCCTCGACTATATCCCATAACCTCTTTTCAGTGAGCAATAAAAAAGGCACAAAGTCGGGGTCAGGATTTTTCAAGTTAGGTTGTTTCGCCATTATTTCAACCTAATCAGGCCTAGCATAAACTGCACTCGAGGCTTGGGCTTTTTTGTACAACTCTACTATGTTCCAAAATAAGCGTTCATTTTCAAAAGTAATTATACCCTTAGTTACGAGAGAAGGAGAAATTCATTACTCCATCCGTTACCAAGGATAAAATTGTCACTCACATTTTTAAAACTATACCTTTTTCACTATAGATATTTATTTTGAGACAAATGGTACGCCTTGCATGCAGTGTTTTTCTTGACCACTAACATAAAAACATTCTCAAAACGATGAAACTGAACCAAAATTTCCACACCAATTCTACCATCAACATTATAAAATTGCTAATGCTAAGGATCCACTTGAAATTCATATTATTCCTCCTAATTCTGTTCTTCATAGGTTTCAAGCTAGCAAACAACCTAATCTTAAATCAAACATAAAACGTATAAAAACAATGATGCTATGCCCGTGGACCACATGTAGCAACATGAGCCTTGAAGTCCTCTAATTCCGTCAACACTTCATCCCTGGGTCGGTATATCAAATCGCTCATTCGCCAAATCTGCAATCACACATAAAACAATAACGGCTTTAGATTTTATTTGTTTACCATCAGCATCTGAATCATGTCTTCTTGGTACCCACAATCATACCGTTAATAATGGAAAGTTTAAATAAGAACCGTAAATATTTTGAAAACCATGTATATATATAGGGGCTTAATCATTTGAGAACTCTAAAATTTGTGAGATCCGTGAGAACTTCTATCTTAAAGTTTTGTTTCACATGATCTTTTTCCATCTAAATATAATATTTGATATATTGATTAACATTTATTTGTTTCATATGTAATCAATTCACAATGTGAAACTCCAAAATGTGTTTGTTTCATATGTACTCAATTCATATGATGCACTGGTTCCCAAAGATCTCACAATATATATACATATATACACACACACACACATATATATATATATATATATATTAGACGAAGGATCGTGTGAGAATGGAAGTTAAAATGAGAAGCATAAGAAAGGATTTGGATCCTTGATCACTTTTAATCTCATCCACACCCTAACACCCTATGAATTCCGCTTGATATGGTGATTGATCTAATGCATCTCATTAATGTTGATATTCAATTAGGATTGATCCAAATATCCAAATTCATTCAAACCCTTCTCACCATAATTTTCCTTCTCACCAGAACTCAACACTATATATGCGGGGGGATCTAAAGAGAACCCTCAAGAAAGAAAGAACCAAAGAACCCATCCAAACCGTTAGATTCAAACATGCAACAGATGTGATTGAAAAGAAGGTTATAACCACCCTCTTTCTAAAATAAAAATATCCCCCTTTTAATTGAAAACCAGCAAAATATAAGAAAATTGGAGCGAAACAACTTACACAAAGAACGATCAAATTATTATCTTTAATTTGACATCCATATTGATATAATTTTTCACCCGTTTTTCGTGATTCTTTAGTTCTTTTAGGTTTACCCCCTATCAGTATATACACTATCAAAATATTAAACATGTAGCTGTCAATTAATATATTTTATCAATGTATATGTATTTATATCGTATATACGCATCAATACATATATAATAATATTGGTTCTCACAGTTCTCAAAATATTTATAGTTCTCAATTGAACATTTCCTACCTTTATATCTATTTCACACCATATGAGACAAATGAAGATGTTAAATACCTGAAGGGTACCACCACCACTTGTTGTTTCAACATCATCAGATACACTAACAACAGTCCATGGATCATACACATTCCAATGGAAGTCTACCACTTTGTCCCTGAATGCACCACCAACAAACACTTAGCACTTGGATTACATCAATCAAACAGATGCCCTACAAATCGTTAATACCCCATCCACAGGGATTGGATTTAGAAAGTAATGTGTGAATGGGGTATTAACGATTTGAGCATTTAACGAGCTACTTGAACTCGAGCTTAGTAACGACCATGAACACAAAATAGAGCTAGTTTAACTTAACGAGTCACAAAATATCATCTTGCTGTTTTCCTTTTTTGCTCATGAAATTGCATCATAATTGATTTCATGCACTACTTTCTAAACTCATTCCCCCTGATACAACACTCTACTTGTCACTTTATTATTTGGTCATTACGGTATATACTTGCACTTAATTAACCACCATCCTACAGTTTTTATATCATTATTTTCTTACAAGGATTACAAGGCATCATGCATGGAATCCCAAAAGATTTCTAATGGCCATAGTTATTGCTTTTGTCCACAAAAACACTATCTATTTTCTTAATTGTGAGAATACGTGGAACCCCCAGATCACTCTCCAAAAGAGCCCTTGAGGAAAAAGGGAGGTTCCAACATATATACAAGAGAAATGGGCCAAGTCTAGCCGATGTGGAACTCCAACTCACCCCCTCCAAAGAAGGCTAGATGGACACAGACTGTCCCAAGGTGTCGGGAGGGGGCTAGCCAGAGTGTCAAGTCCCTAGAGTGGCAGACCTTGGCTCTGATACCATGTGAGTATGTGGAACCCCCAGATTACTAGCCAAAGAGCCCTTGAGGAGAAAGGGGAGGTTCCAACATATATACAGCAGAAATGATCCAAGTCCAGCCGATGTGAGGCTCCAACATTAACAAACATGAAAAGATGTCACCTTCCCATAAAAACTACAATCAATGACTTCACACATACTTTTAAGGAACATGTTCAACTATTTATCAAATATCTGAAGTGCCCTTCAATAAAAAAAATAGAAGGAATCTAGTAAAAGTGTATTCCGTCATCTTCAATAATCAACCACAATCCATGATGACATTGAGTATACTTTAACCACCAGAAAGATCAATAACATGAATGGCACACGAAGGTCAATAAGAAAGTTGTCTTCATAGGGATGTATTCTTTTGGTTGGGTTGGGTGAGATGGGAAGAGGCAAGGGAGGGTACATCACTGTTTTATATGGACAAGGATATCATGTAAGCTAAGTTCAGACTGCAGATAATTCTCATAAATTTATTTCACAGTTTGAAGGAATTGAACCTGTGCCCACAATGTTTGAAGAACAACCCCGGAGCAGAGTTTGGAGATTTTGTCCCGTGTTCTGTCTTTTTACCAACCTACCAAATAATACAATGAATGATGAATATAAGAGCGAACATTAACAAAGAAAAAGAAATGAAGTGGCTTGCAGTATTGTAACGTAATATTATCACACAAAACATGATCACATAGGGCCATTAGGAAGAGGGGGTTAAAGAACAGATTCCCATTCTCCTGTATGAATGCAGGCCTGAAATATGCTACAATCTAACCACTGATAAGATAAGTCTAAACCTTGGTTATTGATCACTGTTTATACATTGTCAAAATGTTTTCTTCTAATTAAAGTAAGAGTAAACTTCACTTTTGGTCCCTTAATGTTTTGTCAATTTCAATGGATATTGTCCCTAAACTTTGAAAACTGGATTTGGTCCCCTCACGTTATCATTTCTTAACAGTTTTGGTCCATCCTAACGGCCGTTATTTTTTTCCATCAAGTCTAATTAAATGAGGGATATTTTAGTCATTTTAAACATTTTTCTGATGACTAAAGCACCCCTCATTTAACCGGGTGGTGATGGACTTAACAGAAAATTGTTTAAAATGACTAAAATAACCCTCATTTAATTGGACTTAACGAAAAAAGCTAACGGCCGTTAGGAGGGACCAAAACTGTTATGAAATGACAAGTCTGAGGGACCAAATCCAAGTTTTTGAAGTTTAGGGACAATATTCATTGAATCTACCAAAAGCTATAGTCATCGTAATCCTCCTATTCAACTACTCCGACCATTTCCGAGTTTTGGTTTTGGCTCTTCCAAATCATTCCCACAGGAGATCCGAACCCTTTTTTTTCTTCTTACATTTAAATCCAATCTCCTGGTCCCTGCGGAAAGGAAAAAGAATTTCACGCTCTTCCTAAGGGAGGATTAGGGACATCCTATTGATTTTAGCTTTCTCCAACCTCGGGGAAAAGCATGAAATGTTCCTGGAAATTCTTGCTCCCAGTGGACCATATATGAAGTTTACTCTTAATTAAATGAAAGACTAGACTAGAACTTGTCAACTTGGCCAACTAGGTGATGATTATAAATTTATAATACACTGATAACTACCTACATGCTAGACGATTGCAGTAACCTTTCGACGCCTTTTTCCACAATAAACTTACGCTTTCGGATAAGTGCTCAGATGTTAAATCATATAGTCTATAGAACTATAGAACGAAAAAGATTGCATATGCAACAAAAATATCTGTGAAGCTGGTAATCTACAAGCAATAGAGTTGAAATGTGGATGCATCAATGTGGTTGTTTCCCATGGATACACAATAGTAAATATATGAAAAGGATGTTAAATCAATGTGGTTGTTTCTCTACATGCATAAATGTATGCATTTGGAGGCGAACTCAGATGTTAAGTTAAAGAGTCTATAGACTGAAAAAGGTGACATATTGCAATGAATATATCTGCAAATCTGGTTATACACATTCTACAAGCAATAGAATAGAATCTGGTACTTGTCAAAGTGGTTGTTTCTTTTGAGGGGGAGGTCATAAGCGTCTATACCATACAATAGATTATTGGCGGAATGAAAAAGACATGGTAGAATCATAACCATAGAATACGACCCGAATCAAAATGCATACATTTGTCTCATACACTATTGGAATGGCGAGAAGAGATATATTTTACATCCCAAGGGGCTATAATTGGAGATAGCAATGTTTCTGGTACATAAGTTCCAATAAAAGTGGAAAATGCCCTACCTTTGAGTGCGGTTTGAACTATTGATTTTACGTAATTAGTAGTAGCCAATTAGGTTTACGATGAAAAGTAGAAATCAATCATTAATCCAATTTGAGTACCTTTACAGGATTGACTCATAGACCTCAACAGAAATACATACACATAATAAACCTATAAAGAAGATTTTAAAACAATGTGGTTGTTTCCCATACATATATAAATTTATGCTTTTGGAGACGTACTCAGATGTTAAATCATACAGTCCATAGAACAAAAAAGATGGCATATGCAACGAAAATATCGGCAAGGCTGGTTATCTACAAGCAGTAGAGTTGAAAGGGGTACTTATCAATGTGGCTGTTTCTAAATACATACAGAATAGTAAATATGATTAGAGCAAAAGCTTTCTACCTGTTCATAATCCCAGATATTTACACAGCTATCCTCTGCTGAACTCCCGAAGACAGAACGCTTGTCTGGACACCACTACAACATAAGGGAAGTTTCAAGATAAAGCATGGAAGCTTATAAAGAAAAAATACGGGAAAAAAAAAAGGAAGCCTGCTTTCTTTGTTCACAAGTCACAACACCAAAAAAAAGATCTAATACCTGGACACAAAGAACAGGAGCTCTGTGTTCTTCAAATTTATGAACAGGAGAGGCGACTCCATCAGAAGTTAGATTTCGGCGGTCAAACATGCAAACAGAGTGATCAGCTGACCTGAAAATGACACCATGGCAAGAAAAAAAGCCATCGCAATTAGTTACAATTACATGGAACGAAATGAATCCATTTTACAAATTAGAAGAAATGTGAAGCCAGAACAGTATCAACAATTACTCTTTGATTAGATGCAAAAAATAACAAAATTCACTCTTTATCCAATCTTTAAAGTTTAAAGCATAATATAATTTTAAAAAAATTATATCTGATTCAAACGCCAACTTTAAAAAAAAAGATTCATTTGAGACAAAAAAAGTGGAAGTAGACTCTTTTTTGGGATGAAGGGAGTATTCCTCAAAGTTCAACTTCAACCATTTTACATGGGAGAAAAAGAAAGTACCCGGTGAGAATATAGTTCTCATCATGAGGACTCCAATCAACGCAGTGAACGTCAGCATTATGTGCCTTTTCGACCTATTTTCAAAAAAAAAACAAATTAACTCACATCAGAGGATACAGATTATAGAAAGCCAAAATACTTCACAAAACTCGCATGTGTAACGGTGTAAGAGGAGGTTGGGACAACAGAGAAGTGCTAACAAATTTCACAGTGAAAAATTCAGCAAGGATGCATGTGATTATGTGAAACACCGACTTCAGACTTATGGGTCTGTGTGACATCCGACCTGACTCATGCACCCGAACATTACTCAGGCAAATATAATGTTCACCATAATTAATTATTGAAAATTTTGCTTTCGGCATGAGGCAACAAGGCATAGCAACCCACTTCGTAACTACATCTTGGACAGTTAACTAAAAATCTCTATTTTTAAATAAACTTCACTTCAGCATCATGCTGCCATGAATAAAAAGTCGATTCACAACAAGCATATAGGTCTAGCTTTTCATGGCGAACACAATCATACAGATTTCTAATGGCATGGTTCAATCCACCTCAAACTCCATTATTAGAGGACCCAATTTGAAATGTATAGTCAAGTAAGCTGAACTCAGCATTGCAACAAACCTTCATGACCGGGTCGGTTCCAACTCTTGCATCCCACAGTATCAGGCAAGAATCATCTCCAACGCTACAGAATTCCTGTGTACTTCATCAACATACAGAAATTTGAACACCATATAGAATGTGTCAGATTATAGAAGACTCCACAAGCATAGAAAAGTATAGCTATAATCAGAACGTAACTCGACGTGAAATTGGAATGGTAACGAGTTAATGCAAGTTACCTTGTTGGACAGAACTGCACATCTTCAACCGTATCCTCATGCCCTTGAAAGATCCCACGAGGCCCCAGAGAAGCATTATTAACACTTTTAACAATTGACCCTGTAGATCCTGAAGTGTTGGTTGAGTCTCCTCCACCCAGTGTTGATATATGGTCATGAATACTCCACAAAACCACATATTTATCCTTTCCTGGAAATGGATATCCTCAATAGTTAGATGTTAACTGATAAAATTAGTCAATCCCTTGGAAATATATATTAAAATCAACCAGAGTAAAAAAATCAAGCAATTGCAACCATTAGCTAATACCATTCATCCTCCTTGTCTCATTGATCATATGCACTCATTGACCACAGTTGGAATACATTATGCAAAATCACATGATAGAATGGCTAACAAACACGAGAGTGACACTTTCACTTAATTGTTTTCGACATAAAAGGACCATCATCAATCATAACAACTAGATAACTGTTTGAACAACTAGTTGACAAAGAATTTTGACAACAATCTTCTAACCTCCAGAGAGTACATAAGGTTCAGATGGGCACATTGCAAGGGCAAATTCTGCATTATCCGAATGTCCTGTAAGCACCTGCCATAGAAGGAAAAAGATTTGATGGTACAACGCCACATATTTAGGAGATCCAAGCTCAATGTATGGGTTAACAAAAGCATTGATATTTGTATCATTCCCATCTGATTTTAACCTCAAACATTTGTTTAGCAATGAGAAAATGAAATAGAAAGGGACATAAAATAATCCATATGGAGGGTAAGTATATGATAATATGACATTGTAAAAAGGTGATGAACAAATATAAGCAAGATACACGTTTTACATTTATGTTTGTACAATGTAAAACATTAAAGAAAAAGTTGTATGATATGGCTAAATTATATGAAAGAAAGATAATACAAAAATTGTGGTCAAATAGGCAGGGAGCTCCAAAACACCAAACCAACTAACTAAAAGACATTTGTAAAATCTGGCTATCCAGATTTGAAGCTGCAACCATGGTTGACTTTAGTAGGTTCATCACCAGGGACTCTCAAGGATATTTTGTCAATTGTACTTGTTAAGTCACCATCTCCTTCAAAAGCCTAATTTACTAGATGAACCCACATAAGAAAATAGCCTACTTGGAGAACCGCAGGTTCTCTTGTATGCTATTCAACCGCTAACAACTTGAAACACACGAATGAATACTTTAAATTTGCACACCCACCCCAGGGAAGGGTGGACAACAGATGACATAAATGACGCAGTATAGATTAGAGAATTGGAGAAAAGAAAGAATCAGAAAACACCAAAAGGAACTAGGTTTTCACAGCTTCAAACCAGAGGAACACTAGGATCTTTTGAGCATCGAACCCAAGATAACCAAAGGCATCTCACCAAAGGTTGTATGGTTTCACACAATCAAAGTAAACTCGTGACTATTTTTATGTACTCAATAATGAGGATTAGATCACAAATTCACAATATATGATAAGATTAACAATAAGGATAAGTACTAAGAATTATCCTAATAGAAAATTATCCTATAAATTATTCTAACAATCATAAAACTAAGGTTAAACTAGCAATCATTAAATTAACTAGATTCAAGCAAAATAAAGTCATGATGAACCTACTATTTGCCCTAAATTTGAAATCCTCATCAATGAACCTTAACTATATCACTCAAACTCTATAAGGCCAAAAAAAACACTCATCCTTTTCTTGCTTTCCAAAACAATACTCATCCTTTTCTTGATTTCCAAAAAAATATGTTCAAACTCCGAATGACTAATGAGATTTTCTCTGTTCCTACTTTATTACCAATTTTCAAAACCAGGGATTTCAACCACTTCTTCCCTTATTTCTTTCAAAGCCTAGTGTTCCATTGTAACTTAGAAGGCTCTTGAAACAATATGCCATGCAAGTGACTGAAAGAAGAAAATTCTTATAAGTGAAAGATGAACACACCAAATCAGCATGAGATTCAGCAGCTCCAAGAACAGCGTAACGATTAGGCTGTGCTTCAATATCCCAAATGAGGACCTGAAATAAATAAACATGAAAATACAAATAAGAGCCTGCATGAAACTTTCAAAACATCATAAAACCATGCTCTGATTATTATTCTGTAACCTCTGGGCAGTCTGTATGTGTAGCAACTATGTTCTTGTTTTGTGGCAGTTCCCTAATTCTGTTCACCTGTAAAACAATTATCAACAAACTATAGATACGAAACACAGGAGCTATATAGTATTGAGCACTTGCAGGCATCAAGATAAACAAGGTTTTACTCATTTGGATTGGAACTCCAAAACTATATAAAATTCCAGTTCAATGTTGGACAGGATACATAAAACATAACCCCAAGAAAAAATATATCAGTAACTAAATTTAAAACTATAGATGGAAAGAGAAGCAATTGATCAATGTCAAGAACTCCATAAGCAGAAACATCTGCATGCTACACGTAACGAATTTGACACAACAATGCACAATTGCACGACAACAACATTGTTGAATGCAGCGGCCAACTGCAACATTAGTGGCATAAAGCAATGAACTCCATGCTTATCACTTTGGTTCATGATGTAGCCTGCAACTCAAGTCCATGGATCTGCCAGGTACTTGTATCTAACAGTCTCCATTATCCCACAAGAATGGAAACATTTGACCCTAGATGCAAATTAATAGAAAACTTTGACGACAGCTGAGTGTCACAATACTCTTGCAAGAGTATCTTTTACATTCAAATTGAAGTAAATCTTCAGCACAAAAATGTAACTATTTGTATGAGGATTAATGAGCAGAGAAAATTGATATTTTAACTCAAAACATTTCCAGGATACTAAAATTGCAATCAGCATAAAACATGTTTTAAAAAAAAATTGATTCTTGTGATACAGATGGAGCATAATATACCAACCACAGATAAATCTGTCAGAAGACATCTATTCACAGAATTCAGTAACTCCAAATGTGTATGATTCTTACCTCTCCAGGATGAATGATAGTTCTGAACTTCTTTACAAAGGGAGAACGAGCTTCCTCGTTGAACTAAAAGACCAAGCAATCACATGTGAAGTAATCAGAACAGTAGCCATGAGTAGGTTCGAGAATGCTAAAACAGAATAGGAACAAGGGAATGATAAAGATGAGTAAAAGAATTTTTACCTGAGATATGTGTTCTGCTGCAGCAACTTTTGGCTTCACTACGTCACAATTTGCTATTACTAGTGTATTTGGAACACTACCGTCAGTCTGAAGAAGCACATGGCATCAGAATATTAGACATCAACTGTTATATAAAATGAACACCGCAGCTCTGAAAACATTAGCATCAAGCTCCAGTTCCATATAAATTGTCATGGGAAAGAAAAACACTATAAAAACGTAAGGGAATCCGTGATCTAAACATACATATGCAAAAATAGAAGTGTCATAAAGAATGCAGAGATAGGGGGAACACTATGAGAGGAGACAAACATAACTACAAAATCTGGACTACAAAAATGCGGAGAAAAAGTGAATTAAAACCTGGAAAAACCAAAAAGTGAATTGAAACCCTAAACCAAAAACGATCATAAGCAAAATTGAACAAGAATTCCTAGGGCTCATAAAAACATATAACTACAGGATGAACTAAGTGAAGCATTATAACTACAATGACAAAAAAACGTTAAAGTGCAAGTATAGCCATTTCCCCATCAGCAGCATTAATGGCATGATGAAAACAAATGTTCCAACAAAGTCAATTAAACTGTAGCATTTTTACCATTTTGATTAATCAACTAACTTAGGACTTGTAATCTTTGCTCCTGATTCATCTTTAAAGAATCTAAACTTTGCATACTCAAGATGACTTACCCTAGTGATTCATCAGTACTAGGAACTTTACCAGATGCACACATTTCACCCTGAAACCACAATATAGATTGTGTACATCCTGACTATTTCATAACATGCTCAATTTTTTTCAACAAACTGAAAGATTCGAGACAGTATCGCTATCACAATAATCACAACAAGCAACTGAATAAACCTACAAACAGGAAAAGGAATCAAACTCTTGCCTGTTCCGAAAGATACAGACGCTGCTTATTCTTGTTCTTCGATTGTTCCAGCAATGGTCCCCATCTATTCACATATTATGAGAAGCTTATAAATTGATACCAGCAAATATTGAACTATACATGTTTGTAGGCTTTAAGGTACTTGTTTATATGAATAACGGATCCACAAGATGATCCATTTGACCATGAAAGTGAAAGCAACTTCTTTTTTAAAAGAACTGGAAGATCAAGAGCCAGCCAATGATTTCTTTACCAGATCGTCACTTAAAACTGCTTAAATCAATAATTTAAAATTTCATAGCGCATTGAGGTTTAATCAAGAAACAACTGCGTGATTTTATGTGAGTAAATACATATATACCGGCAAGAGAGAGAGGGCCAAACGAGGTTATGGTTAGCAAGCCAATCATAAAGAATGGGGACGACGGACTTCCAGTTATTGTACTTCTCGTCGACGACGGCCGCTTTCTTGTTTCCGACAGCGGAAGCTCTGTCTCTCATCTTGAGACCTGAAATCTCTCGTTCTTCCCTGGTGATCTTCTTGGAGCCCTTGGGCCTACCTCTCTTTTTAGGCTGCGACAATGGTGATGAAGCTTCTTCCATTGAATAATTGGTTCTTGAGGGAGGTTTAAAAACCCTTGGTCTCTCGCTCTAAAACCCTATTTCTCTCTCTAAAAAGCTTGAGAGCAAAAGGGACCTACACCTTCCAGTGAGTAGATAAACTCAGTCTGAGTCGGACCAGTAAACGGTAATATAATACATACATATATACTGTATCTATATACACCCTCTTCTCGTGCCTTTGGGTAAATCATATATACATTAAACTAATAAAAAAATATATTAGATGTTATATGAAATTACCGCATCATCCTCGTTGTTTTTTAAAATATATACTTAAATAATATTTGTTATATTAATTTTTTTTTAATTAAACTTTGTAATTGACTCAAAATAATAATAAAAATATTAATAAGGTGTATAACAGAGATTGTTCTGTCATAAATATATCAATTTATACGCTACATATATTTCCATAAAATATTTATATCCACCACACAAACGCGATACTATTACCCAATTTTGTATATAGTATTGCAGATATTTTTACAATTTGCTTATTATTGTTTCATTGTTTGGTTTTTTGTTACAGAAAAAAAAAAGATTTTAATCGTTTTATGCAAAATCAACATATATGGTATGTTAAAGAAAATGATTTAAACTCATGTGACTAATCATTTAGTACGTATATTGTTTTTTAAATATTATGTAGATAGTGTTATGTAAATAATAATATCGATAATAATCATCTCATAATATTAAAAAATATATATATAATAAATCTTATATAAATAATAATTGATGACAATGGTTATTTACTTATATAAAAAACAAAAGTATCATGTAATAATAATTAACCGTAAAAGTTATTTACATATACTTTATTTAATTATCATAAATATTTTATTTATTGTATATTGATAGCAATAAGGGTTTTTTGTAAACTAAAATATATTATAGTTACTTGATTAATCATTTACTTCTTTTTATTTGTTTATATTTATGATAATCAATTTATAATTATTATGTAAATAAAAATATACATATTATTATATTGAGTATCATGTAAATAATATTTCATAAATTGATCGTAATTTCATTTATATAGTGATTTTTTAAATACATTATGATATATATATATATATATATATATCATTAATTATGAAATTTGGTTGTTACAGAAGAAGATGAATAATGTAATCACTTCAATGTTTACTAATCTATATCTATATATATACTATCTTATTAAGCAAATTTAGCAAAAGTTTTAAAGTCTTAAAATACTAAATGACCAAGATACCCTTTATACTACTTTTTCACTTTTTCATCCGCTCCTCTTTCACATATAATCACCCTCTCACAAATTTTTTTAAAATTATAATTTTAAATTTACACTTTATACCCCTATAATTAATTTATTTATTTATTTTACGTCATTTATTTTTAAATGTTTCATTTTAAACATTTATCAAATTAACATACATAATCGTATATCAATAAAAACATGTTTAAAAAATACATTTTTATATTAACAAGTTACACCATTATAATTGTCTCGTTAATACCTTCGAAATGAGTCCAATATTGAATAGTTTTTGACTTAATTATATTATTATATATTATATATACTGTGAAAAAATATTTTTAATATTTATGATTTATACTTTTATAGTTATTTATTTATATATATATTATATATTTTGGGGTTGGTCTGTCCAAATTGCACTGTATAATATGTTCTTGGATTTTTTTTGAAATATATATATATATATATATATATATATATATACACATATATTAATTCAACCTTAATCTGAGTTTCTGGACAAGAAAGAGGGTAAGCAGTTGAAATTTCATTCAAAAACCCATATTTTTTGGTTTTTTCATGGCCTATGATATGTCAAATTTGTAGTTTTCTTTATTGGTTTTGAGTGTTTATCTTAAAACTCAAGTTTCTTGGTTCTTTGCTCTTGGTGTAAATCGAACACATWTRTGGAGTCGTTTAAATATGTTGGATTTTAAATATATTAGATTTTAAACTGTCATACAAATTTTTTCATCGATAGTCTGTAATTGGAACCATAACTCTTATTTATTCAAATTGTATTAATATGTAAAGACCAAATATAACATATATCATCGTTAAATCTTATCTTATAAAACTAGTGGAACTTCAAAATCGTTAAAATTCATGGTTCTCGCCGCATTGCGCGGGTACACAACTAGTAATTACATAATAAAAAAGGAAATTTGCAGCAAAAAAAATAAAATTGGGATTCAGATACTTAGAAAAAACTCATTGTTGGTGGTTCATCCTTTGATAGACATATAAAATTGATATGGTGTCCCTTTTTTCTAACAACTAATCTTCTCATTCGATAAAGATTAACTCCACTCCCTTCAAAGAACAAACAACCAAAGTCATGAAATTGAATGATTTTATCTTCAAATATAAACATGGTACACAAAAGTAACTAAGAATAATAATATCAAATTTTCTCTTGCAAAGGTCTTTTGATTCGAACGTAATTTGAGTTCATTTAGATTTTTCACATGCACTTGAGAGATCACTATAAATTTATTATATGAGAACAGTATAATTATAAATATAAATAATGATAGCTACAATTCATTAGTGGATAACTCTATAAATCGTAATAAAATGCTCAATTTATCATAATTCTACAACTTCAGTAATCAAATTATAACTTCATAAGTGAAAGGATATAACACATACAAACTCGATAAAACGTGAAGGTTGTTAATTCCATTTTGATGGGAAATTCGATTTGGTATATGGAGAGAACCATAGGCTCGTGAAAAACGAAATGATTGGGAGATGGTGAAGAGTTAGGGATAACGAAAGGAACGGCGTTAAATGCAAACATAATAATCAGTGTTGATGGGAAATTAAAGTGAAAAATTAGAAGAGAAAAGGGTTAAAGGAGGATGAAGTAGAAAAAAAATAATTGAGTTTCTAGCTTTTAGGAGAAGTCACGTTATACTTAGGGCGCGTTTGGTTTGAGGGATTTGGAGGGATTTGGA